TAAATTTAACGAGCAACCACAATTGCACAATGAATCGTCGAAGTATTCTAATGAATTTGATTATACATGCACATATACATTATGTATGAATTCGGAATTCGATTATACGAAAAGTTGTAGTAAAAATAACATATACTATTATAAAGTTGTAGGTAGGTAAGATTCGTTTGATGAACCTCTCGCTCTTTCATAATTTATCTCGTTTCATCCGAGGAGACATCGTCTGACCTCATCCTCGAGAACTTGTCCTACTTTATTGATTCCCTTTCCTCCTCACCCCTGAAAACCGGACATCTCAAATGCTGTCGTCTTGCATAGCTGTCGTAATATTGGTCAGCGACCACAAATACGATCGTAAAATTATTCCATATATACTTACATAACGAAAAAAATAAAAAATTTTCCGTTTTTAATTTTTTTAAAAAGTAAACAAAAAATCTGTCAACGAAATACATTACGAGATGCTCAAAGAAGATTACGTTACAACGAGATTCAAAATTATTCTAATCGAAAAGTAACAAAAGTGTTAAGTACTACAATATGTGATAGGTAGGCATTTATTTCTTTCATTTTGTTGTAACTCTGTAATTTATTCGCACAACATAACAATTAGAGAAGTCTATGAATTCCGTAATATAGTAAGTTTGAGATGAATCTATTCGTTTAGTTAAAGTGTTAGTGACTATCCGTGATATGGTTCGCGAAACGGCACGCGACTGTCTCTGGTTGTTTTAAACGACCAACATCTATTTACATTTTCTTCCTCGTGCGACCGGTTGAACCATCACGACAAGCAATGGTTAGCGTGGCGAACGTTGAAAGCGATCTGACCTCCGTGAGTTGATCGTTCTGGTTCAAAGTTTCTTTATTGATCTGTGCTATGTCGTTAATCTTTCTTCTATCGGCTGCGTAAAAATAAATCGATCGTAGCCGAGAACCGACTGTATATAACACAAACTTGCAAACAATAATTAAAGAAGCGAAAATCAATTTTGGCGATGTCTATAAATAATATTACTTAAATAAGATGGTGGCTTATGACATATCATGTAAATTTTATAATTAATTATTTTTTAAATCATATAGAATTATAACAGAACCATTGAATCATATAGAATATTTTAATATTAATTTTATTTTTCATAATAGATTTGTAATGAATTTGAAATGTTTTTAAAATTAAAACTGTAAATCCGGATTTGTTAATGCATCAATTTCTAAATGAATTAATCAAATCCGATTATTCAAATTTGGCTATCCAAATCTGTGAATGTATTATTTTAGATTCAAACTATAATATTTACTATATAAATAATAAAATGACAAATAATAGCACAAATCATAATACTAAATATTAAAATAAAGTTTTCTTAAAATTAATTTAAAAAGTACGATTTGCAATCTATTTAATTTCTCGATTTATAAGTAAAAAAATTTCAAAGTTTATTCAAGTTTGCTAGGAACTTTATATTTAAAATTGTGACACATTTTTAAGACAGAGTCCGCACGCGCGCGCGTTCTGGTTCTTAACCTGTAAACTTTCGTCTATGGCAAATACACAATGGGTGAGATTTCCTGTTGCTACGTTGATTTTTATAGCCGCACAGTTACCTTCCGTGACACCGTATGAGACCACTGGTCGCTTTAGCTTTTGCCCATTTCTTTTTTCGGAGCAGTTTCTCACAGGCAAACACATGAACGAACGCACGAGTGCTCTGCCATCCGGAATCGTCACGAAAACAGAAGAAATCACGACATTTGATATATGGTCGGTTGAAATTAAACTTATATAATCGATATCTTGTATTTCTCTGCTTATATAATAAAGATGTACTCTTTCTCCATGTACGATATAAAATAATATTCCAAGAATAGATAAAGAGAATAACACAAACTAAGCATTTTTTAAGAGATAAATTACATACAATACATCTGTATTTTTATTTTTGTTACTTTTTAAAATGATTAAAATGATTAAACAAGTACCATTATAAAACTGAGCCACCTACATGATTAAAATTATGTTAGCTCAGTTTTATAATGGTATTTGTATACATATGATCATTTTATTTTCAAAAACCAAACGCGATATTTCTCGAACAAATTTTATGACTTATATATAGCAACAAAGTTTATAAAAAAATACACAAAAAATGTTTATATACGAAATAACATTGAACAAGAATAAAAAACACGTAGGCAGAAAAAGCGGATAAAGATAGAAGCAAGGAAAAATTATGATATCGATACCTGATGAATGTCATCTGATAAATATCCCGTGATCAATATCTTTCGATTCCAGTAATTGAATTTGTTATTACTCGAACAATTTTTAGTACTGATACAAGTAAAAGTACATACGCGTATTTATTGGTTGAGACGATTATTCAGATAGCGTATTATGAGAATTCTCATTCTCATAACACTGGTGACATAATCGCGGATCATCTTGTCCCAGAATCCTAAACATTACTCTAGGAGATGAGAGTGGCATGCGCGTTACAGAATAATATTTCCACTCGTTTAAAACGGTATTTATTTTGGATGTCGTTGGCGGACATAAGCGTCCGACAAACATCATGCAAAATTCATTTTACGCAATGCAATTTCAGATATTTTCGAAAGCGAGAATACGTTTAGTGGACTTTTTTATGCGCATCATGCCTCGATCGGCTGAATTTAAAATTAGAAATGATACAAACGCTAGCTTCTTACAAACGGTTGAAATTACACACTATATTAAATGATGTCGTATTGTAAAATAACTCGAATGAATCATACGAATGAAGATTGATTCTTAACTTATTCTAATCATCCTGTTGTAATTATATTTGTGAGCCAGTATTATGATTATAATATAAAGTTATACATATTTTAGTTATACCATTGATTACCTTTATTTTAAAAATCTCAAATATTAGAATTATTGAACAAATAATAGTGACATTTATTTATTTCTCTCTCTCTCTCTCTATATATATATATATGTATATATATATATTATATATGATATTATTTAAATTTTTAGAAAATATTAATTTGCTATAAAAAATTAGATACTGAAAACTGCTTGAAGGAAGATATTTATCATTACAATTACCTTATTCGTAATGAAACTTTTTATAATATATTATTACCTTTTAAAAAACTAATTGGTCGCTAATAAAATCTGTGCTTTGCATGATTTCACTTTTGACATTCAGTGTAGCGCAGGCATGAAAGACCCTTGAAAATTGTATAATCAAATGTATCGCAGGTACTACATCTCACGTGTTTTGCCGAACAATTTACCGTAACCATGACACTCACGATGAATGGTAATGAGAACGCGTGGGAATATCCTGCCTTTTCAATGTTACTGGACTGCACCGTAACGCAATGTGATCTGCAACTTTCGCCTACGTCTCCTACGTGGTCATGATTAAACATTTACCGCGGATAAAGTGACGATAAAAACCGATGATAATAGTTTCTTACAGTTCTCCATATATCGCGAAAGTTCAATAGGTCAGTATTCCTCATCTAAGCTGCTAAAGTATGTCAATAAATTCTATTTTCCTTATTCTACAAAAACGTTCTAATAATTCTTGTATATTCGAGAATATATCGCCTTTAGCGTCTTCTTATCTTTACGTACGTGCAAATTTAAGAATATATTTTCGTTAATCTTATCAAAAAGAGAATTCACAACGTAATATAAAGAGCAAAAGCTCATCTAATATCTTCTCAAGCAGAATTCAACTGCAAATTTATTAAACTTGCACGCCCATATTTTCCAAGGCAATTTTTATATCTACAGAAAAATTAACGAATTTTATGTCAAGGAGTCCAATTTATGCAGCGTTTTTCGAATGTGAGATCAAACGAAAGAACAAACTTTCGACGATTCTCTGATTCGTAAATCAGAGGGACAAAGTAGAATAAAGCAACGTGTTTTCGTTAATTACCGACAGTAATTTTTTTGTAGCTTACAGACTGCACGTTAATGTGTATGCAAAACGATTGCATTACGACATGAAGATATAATATGTCGCGATGAAGCCATGTGGAAGATTCGATGAAAAGAAACATTGTTTCAAGGCAACGGTGTTAGTGTCTACTGGTGACATCAAAGCCGTTTTATTTCGGGAACCGCCAATTTTTGCTTCCAGGAACCAATGTCATTTCATAAGCACATGTGTATGTCGGCGAGTAAAAAAATCTCAATAATATGCACATATTAAATATTATGGTCCGGAATATATTTATTGAAAGATAAACATCATCCTGGCATTTTTTCGTACGCGGAAATAAATAAATTACTAAAATAGAGAGAGAGAGAGAGAGAGAGAGAGAGAGATGTCAGAGAAATAAGATATTTTTACAAAATTTTTTCAATTAGTTCAAAGAAAATAATAAAGAATACAATAAAGCAGAAATATAATACGTTAAATGAATTCTTGCATTTTGTAGAAGAGTTTATAAACGTCTCTATGCAATGGAGCGCATTCGTAAATCGTATTCGGTTTGTTTGTCGACTTGTATGATTAGTTTTTCTTCCTGCATCGCGTTAAGGACGTGCATATCGCACAAATAATTTACGTGACAGTTTAATGTTCGCTTCGCGATTATACGCCTATGGATTTATACTAGTTGCATATTCATTATCGCGTGTGTGCCTTGTAGTGTGACGTATACGGCACCATAGTCGGTAAGATATAGTAAAGTGACGGCAGCTTTAAAAATAAAACGGCGCTAATGTGTTTCGCATAATCCTTATAATTGAGCTCGACGATTCGCAAATGCCCATGAGCAATCGTGAACACTGTTCGATATGTTCTTCTTCAGCTCAACATTTATCAAATATATATATCTGAATGAATAATTTATATCCGTTTTCTCAGAGAAATATATCGCAATATTTCAAAGATCAGCTCTTTAATTTCACGAAAATGTATTCTCTTCCAATTAATCTATTTTCACAGCGCAAAATTAATATTTGATTCTCGTTTTTTTTTCAGACGAACAAGAACGCGTGCAGAAGAAAACCTTCATAAATTGGATCAATTCTCATCTATCGAAGGTAAGCGTGTCAAGAAGAAATACTTTTATCACCTTCAGAAAACGCAATGAAACAGATTCGCACATGGCAAATAACGTTTTGATATCGTGCTCCGTTTCGCCGCCAGGTACTTGATAACAATAAGGATAGTACAACGGCAGTTTTTGAGTTGACTCTCGTTTTTCTTCTCATTCGAAGTTACGTAATGCTCTCGATCCTTACGTGACGCATAATAAAACGTGACGCGAACTACCTCTCGTATCGTGCTATCGAAACTTAAACGGCTGATCTAGCTCGTACCTGGCTCTTGAGTTTCGATGCTCCCCTACTTCCGCATCCTTCAGAACTTGCCTTACTGCGGAAACCCAACTCGTAACATGTATGCATCAAAAGCAACGAAGTTATTGAAGGCGAGCACCTTGTTCGTCCTCGTACCAAATAGCTATTTCAGTAAAAAAAATTGTGTATCATCAAATAAAGAACAAGTAACATTGATCTAGGTAGCACTCAATTCAAAAATTAAAGTGGAAACAATAAAAGTTTAGTTTATTGTTATAGCACAAACTGCAGTCAGTGCCGAATTTATTTGAAAATTATATCATCTACAGGCATTAAACGTTAAAAATTAAATAATTAAAGTATTAAATATTATTATATATAAATTAAAAAATTATAAGTATTCTATAAACTACGTATATAACATAATTAAATTTCATGTACGCGGCAAATTTTATCATCATTAGATATATGTAATTTAATAATTAATATTTTTAACATTTATACTATGTTTCTCTTACTCATATATTTAAAGAATATATATGATCCATCATGATTAGGCAATTTATAAATATTTCTTTTCTATAGAGAGTTCCTCCGCTTCGTATCGATGACTTAATCGAGGATCTCAAAGACGGCACGCGTCTTCTCGCATTACTCGAAGTTCTTTCGGGAGAGAAACTGGTAATGAAATATTTGCGTTGACATTTGTAAAAAAAAAACGTTAAAACCAGTTGTCTAAAACATGCGTGATCTTTCAGCCTGTAGAGAGAGGCCGTAATCTAAAGAGACCACATTTCTTGAGTAATGCCAATACTGCGTTGCAATTTTTACAAGGCAAGAAAGTGAGTATTTCTGTTAATTTAATCGACAAGTTGAAGAAATTGATAGCCAATTTCTGATTTAATATTTTTCACAGATCAAATTAGTGAATATAAATTCGTCTGATTTGGTTGACGGACGACCGCCAGTAGTATTGGGCCTAATATGGACTATCATTTTGTATTTCCAGGTATTATATCATTCGAATATTTTAGTTATACTTAATGACAATTTTTATGCAAAAAAGCACCAGTATACTTAGTATGCGGTAGCTGCTTAAATATAGCGCTCGTATCACGTATCAAAGTACTTCAACAAATAGCAGCAGCACTATATTCTTATATGTCGCAACGAAGATTAATTTATATTTTTTAATTTTTTTGTTCAAGCTGTAATAATTGTAGTAACTGATTTTACCAATTATAGTTACAATTAAACAAAATTTAATTTCTAAGATATATTAAAAATTACATAATTTTGTTAATAAAGTAAGTTTTAAATTATGTTAATTATGGTAAGAATTGAATAATGTTTTTTCTACAAATTAAACAGTCATGACTGCTTAAATAAATTAATCCTCGTCGCGTGTAAAGTAAATTATATCACTCTGCTAACCGTATGTATTCCAATAAACAAGCTACGATCGAAGGATCGCAAGCGGGTGAGTAGTAAAAAAAGCAAGATTGTGAATGCGATGAATGATCTTGATCATTCTAAAAGAGTAAGACGGATTGCACTGGCATGATGTTGCGCATTCTATTAGTACGCACGCTAGATTATCTTTAGGCTCGACAAGGAGAGGATACATCATACCAGTCCTCGGAATTTTTTTTTAGATCGAGGAGAATACTAGAGCCCTCGAGTATCTTGGACAAACATGGGGCAGTCAGAGCAGCCTCGAAAGCCTTGGGACTCAGGGCTCAGCGGCAAGCGAAAGGAAACGCATCAGCAGCGAAAAGTGGAAGCAAAGTGCACGAAAAACCTTGCTTCAATGGGTCACCAATGCCTTGCCGAAGTCAGTACTCTGTTAAATTACTGTTTGTGTAATAGATACAACTACGCGCAAATTTTTTTTCTAATATTATGTCGGGGTGAATTCCTTAGGAACGTTGGTATTCAAGTTCGAGACTTTGGAGAAAGTTGGAGAGACGGAAATGCTTTCTTAGCCATTATCGATGCCATAAAGGCCAATTTAGTAAACATAGCAGCTATGAGAGAAGCATCGAACAAAGCTCGATTAGAAACAGCCTTTCAGGTTGCCGAGATCGAACTAGGTATTGCTCGATTGTTAGACCCTGAGGACGTGGACGTACCGCAACCCGACGAAAAATCGATTATGACATACGTTGCCCAATTTTTGCACAAATATCCAGAACCAGGGAACACAGCTCCTGATTCTTTCGCGGCTATACAAGAAGAATACGACGGTCTTCTTAAATGGCTAAATGAGAGAGTCAGGCATCTCGAACAACTTGATAGAACAAACGCCTATCCACAAAGTTACCCGGTACTTTCATAATAAGATCTCGGCAGAGTTTACATCGTAAATCTTAATTTTAATATTTTAGTAAAATCATTTATGTAATTCTACTTTAATAATTAAAATTAATGTTTAGAAAACGGTAATATTTTGAGACTTAAAAAAGATAAGAAAATAAAAATAAAAATATATTATTCTTTATATTTTTTTTTAGGAATATACGCTGTTTAGAGCAGAGACCGATGAGAAATCAATTATATATAAAAAGATGCAAAGTTTGGTCGATACACCTAGTATGATAAGTATCACACGAGATTCTTGGAGACATATACAAATGTTGTGGCAACAAATGGAACTCTTTGTAGGTTTTGTAATCTACTTCAACTTTTTGTAGTTTCTCTAGTCAAATGAATAGAACCTTATGTTGCAAAAATTTCTTTTAAAAAAGTATTATTTTTCTCTAGATGCTGCATTGGCTTTGGTTACTAGATTCAATGTTACCGGGAGAATTAGGAGAAGTCGGTAGATGGTTAGCAAGAGCTGAAGCTCTCTTATATTCAGACAATAATATACCACAAGAAATGTCAGAAAGCACGGCGAACATAATCTCGAATAAGTTGGAAGATCATAAAAAATTTTTCCTCGATTTACCGACAATGACGGAGAAATTTCAACACGCTAAGAACTCGCCGTTGGCGCGACAAGTTCGGCCTGAACAATTAGATAACATGTCCGCGCGCTTCGATAGTTTGTCCGATCGTGCGGCTAAGAGAAGGGTGAAATTAAAGTTCTTAGAACACAAATGTTGTTTGATCGCTTTCCTATATCTCGTCGAGACCAAATTGAAAGGCTGGAACATCAAATATGGCACGGAGGAGAAAGTGGATCAGATGTTGGAGCAGTATCGCAACTTTGTTTCCCGAAATAGAATATTCCAGGAATTTCAAAAGGCTTACTTGGATATGCAGCAAGTCGCAGAAGAATACAAGCGTGACGTCGATATTGGTAAGTAAATGAAAATATTTTAGTCACTTATTGATTAATATTCATTTAAATGTGACTGTCAATAATAAATTTATACTAAAAATACAAAGAATTATAATTAAATATGATTATATCAAATAAAATAATTAAATAGTAACTAGTTTTAATTCAAATATAATAAATTAATTTAATATATATTAAAATTCCATAAGTGTGTAAACAATAGCTTTAGCCTCATCGAAACAGTACCATAAATTCGTGCTTTTTAGATCGAGAAGAGAGTCTCAACATTGATCGCTTTATGCGCGAGACGGCTGAAAAATGGAAAAATGTGTCGATGGATTTGCGCTGCGTCCAGAGCATGCTCGAAGAAGTTGTCGCATATTGGCGTCGTTGGACCATTGTCTCGGATGAATTCGAAGCATGGCTACTTCGTGCTGAACCTGTCCTGAATCTCCCAGAGGAGGAAAGAATGGAATTCTTTCAAGATATCAGTGTATGGAAGGACAAGCATCAACAATTGTCGGACACTGTAAGCTTCCTAATTGCCACATCCGACGAATCGGTAGCATTTCGTTTGAAGGAGCGTTACGCGAATCTGACAACGAGATGGGAACAGCTCTTCCAAGAGGCCAAACAGTATATGCACGCGGGTGATCTCATTCGGACGAGAAAGGATTACAAGGCGGGAGTAGAGACTTTGCAGAATTGGTTAAGAGATGCCGAGGTTGCTTTATCGACGACCGGATTAAGCTCCACCGAACGGATCAAAGCTTACGGAGAGAAACTGCAGACTCTTCACAATGAAGTCGAGGACATTGAAAATCTCTTTAAAAATATCAGTAAAAAATTCCAGACTCTTATCCAAGATTTGTCCCGCGACGAAGTCGATAAGATGATGAACACTCTAAAGAAAGAAAAAGAAACTCTTGTTAAGGTACGCGCTTTGATACCGATGCAATTGCACTTGTATCATCAATTATTGGTACAACAAGAATCTCTAGAAGCAGGGCAGAAAGAGATATCTACGTGGCTAGATGAAGCCGAAAGTTTTTTGACCAATATCAATCTCGCGGGTGGTAGAGACGTTGCCTTGGCTCAACTAGATCGTCATAAAGCCTTCTTCTCGAGAACACTCTACTATAAATCTATGCTGGAATCTAAGAATAAAGTATTTGCTAACATCGTCAAGGCTGTGGATAGTCATGCCGACGTAGAGACTGCTGAAGGTGGAGCTACCTTAAGAGAACTCAATGATCGATTTATCAAAGTCTCTCAAGCGGCGCAAGTCTGGGAACAACGTTTGCAAGAGTCTGTGCGCCGTTGGACGAAATTTAAAGAGTGCGAGCGACAAATCTCTGAATGGCTTTCGATTGCGGAAACAATGATCAACGAAAAGCACATCGATAATCGTCAATCCGTCGAATATCACAAAAACTTTTTCGGCAAAGTCAATGAAAAGTGGATACAGGATCTCGTGAAGGCCGGCCAAGATCTTCGGAATGTATTACCAGTTGATCAACAACTTCCCGTCATAAAAACGGTAGAGAATCTTCAGAATCGCTGGAGAGAAATACTCACCTTTGCGCCACTTCATTTAATGAAGCTCGAGTTCCGCCTAGACGAGACTAGCTTCCTTCAATATCTCAAAGAAATCGAGATGGAAATTAGTTCTGAGCAGCAAGCGCTTATTAACAATGACGATGTGGATGGTATTCAACAGCGCAATAAAGAATTTTTCGTAAACCGCGGCACCGTTCTCGAAGTCGAGCGTTGTCTACAGACCTTGAAAAAGATCAGTGATGCTCACAACAAACTCAAGCCAAAAGATACTAGCTTGGTTGATGCCGCGCAAAACGCCGAACGTTTGTGGGAAGAAACCGCACAAAAAGTCGAGAACTTAAGGGAACAATTGCGAGAAATTCCACAACAGTGGGCAACTTATAGACAGAAGTGAGCATTTATTTAACTTCAGTATTATAGATCAGCGTCAATTTCTTCCTTTAAATAATGTGCAATTAATTCTAGGTTTGATGAGATGGTGCATTGGATGGATCATGTTGACAGTACGTTGAGAACCATTTTACATGAAGTCAATACTTTAGAAGAATTCGAGAAAGAGAAGACTATATTTCAGGTTGGTATTGACCAGTTTCATATACAATTCCTCTATCATGTCATTGAAATATTTAAATACTTTGCTTCGCCTTTTCTGCGTTCCCTCCGGATAGCTCCAGACCTTGACGGTAAATATACGCGCATCTCTATGTTCAATTATTCTTTTTAGGGTTTGCTCTTCGCTTAAGAGTCCAATAATGATTTCTCTTGAAATAAAATTTTTAATGAATACCGATTTAATTTTCATCTAATTTACCTATAAATATTAATCAATAATTATTTAAAAATTTTACTCTGGGAAAAACAATACTTTTGTTTGTCATGTCTTTTTCATCTCTTTCATCAAATGTTGATAAATCGCTTTTAGTTAAATATAACTAATATTAAAAAATATTATTATTGATTGTTTATAGAAAATCTGTCGCGAAGCTGATAATAAGCGTGAAGAAATGAAATGGCTGGTTCAAACTCTCGACAACTTGACATTGAATCGTTCAGATCGCGATGCACTCACGGCGCAGCAAAATTTGGAGCAACTGATAACTCGATATAAGAACTTAATTCCAACGATTGAAATTACAATGACGAAGACAGATATCTATTCGAAAAGTTACACTTATCGCAAAGAGGTACGCGAAGTATGCACTTTGTTGCGCAAAGTTCGCGAACAATCAAAAGTCGAAGTCGCGCCTGAGGTTCCTGAAAAATTACAAAACGCGGTGACTCATCAGGAATCCCGTCTTAATCAATTAGAGCAACAGCGAGCAACCATTGTCAGTATGTTACAACGCGGTAAAGATCTTCTGAAAGATCAACACGCTCCACCTTTCGTCTCTTCCGAGGTTCAGCAATTGGAAGCTAACTGGAACGATACATATGGTCAAAGTATGGAGATATTAAAGTCTTTGAAGGAATCACAGAAACTCTGGAACACTTATCAAGAACAAAAGAATGAAATTTTGAGATTGATCGAGCAAGCTGAGAAAGAATTGCGTCAAATTGAATTAGCATCTTATTACGATGCCGCTCAAGTATCCTCTGACCTGCAGAAGAAACAGGAATTCAATACAAATTTGAGAAAATCAGCCGAAGAAATAATAAGGAAATTGCGCGAAACATATACTAATCTTTCTCAAACATCCGCACCACCAAGCAAACAAGAAATTTTAGAAAAGGAAGTAACGGAAACTGAACAGAAAATAGAACACACGTTAAAGATCGTACGCGAAAAAGTTGTTTATCTTCAGGAACATAGCACTCGATGGAATAAATTTCAATCAAAGCTCGTGGAGCTCCGATCTTGGGTTCAGCAAGCTGCGCCTCAATCAGTTGCAAACATAGAAGATTCTACAGCATCACCTGAGGAAAGAGTTCGTAAAACAGAAAATCTACAAAAAGAAATCAAGGAAAAGGTATTGATTTTAAACGCATTAGAAGACGAATCCCGGAAACTTATAACAGGTGAATATACGATTTTTTATTTGTTTTATATTGAATTAAAAACGCACAAATTTCGTTTTTCTGTTACTTAACGTTTATTTTTTATATATTATAGCTATAATTTCTAGATGATATTTCTAAGGTATAAATACTATAAATAATTAGAGACAGTTTTTTATATATAATTCTTTCATAAAGAAATATTTTTTTATATTATCCTTTTTTATTATTTTGTAAAGATTTATGCAATAAAATAATCAATTATTAAGTAAAAAGTATAAAAATGTAGTTTAAATATATCTAATATATTTGACAGATTTAAATGGAATTTAATTAAATGTAATTTAACAACTGCGGTAAAAATATTCTAATATAAAAATGTTAACTTTTTTTTACATATATAGAAGACAGTGATGATATACCAGCAAAAAAACTCCGTGGCGACATTGAGAATCTTCACAAGGCAGTTGAATCATTGAATAAGAGCATAGTAACGCAACGTGAATTGGCTACACAAAATCTTGCAACATGGAGAGAGTACGAAGAAGGCATTCTGAAGATAAAACCTTGGATTGAACAAGCGGAGTCGAAGGCAGCTACGATGGGTAGCAAGCCTACTACTTTGGCTCAAGCCACGCAAATGTTAGAATCGGCCAAGACTTTTCAAGTTCAATGTCAACAACATCTTCCAAAGGTCCAGAGTTTGTCAACGATTAGTCAGCAAATAACTGGAAGAACAGTGGCACCTGATGAAGTCGACGCTGTATACACGCGGTGGAACGCAGTTCATGACGTGGCGGTACAAACGACGACCAAACTGGACAAATTAGTTTCATCATGGAACACTTTCGAATCAGAAGCGAAAGAATTCAACGAATGGTTGCAGAATAGTGAAAGGGCAGCTCTCAAAGAACCCAATGTTCAAACACCCGAAGCCGTAAAGTTGGAAAAGGAATTGGCACATTTAAAGGAATTTAATAAGAGCATATCTGATCATCAGGCTCAACTAATATCACTGACTCAAGTTTCCGATCATATTAGCCATGGTTTATCGCTAGACGGCGCCTCCGCATTGAAAGGTCGCGTTGCTGAAATGAAGACTAGAGTAAGCAAACTCGCGGACACAGTTCGACATTACATTAATCGCGTCTCTGATTCGTTGTTAGCTAGACAGGAATTCCAGATGAAGATCACCGATTTCGAAAACTGGATGACAAGATTAAGATCTAATATCAATGAGATCGGAGACGTGAATATAGACAATGTTGATACTAATTTGCAAACAATGCATGCTTATCTTCAAGAACATTCGGAAAAACAACCGGCATTTACAGCGATTTATAACGAAGTAAAACAACTGTCATCGCGAAGTTCTATGTTGGAAGTCGCTGCATTGGATGAAACTTACACGTCATTAGCGAAAAAATACAAAGCGCTCGAAGATGACTTAAGAGAAAAGAAAAAAGGCTTAGAAAAGTGGATCGAACTTTTGAGCTGGCATAATGACGCCAATGCGCAATTGAATCATTGTAAATATGAATCTGAAGCCAGAAAACCAACTATCGCTGATCTCGATAGACTTTCTTCGGAACTTCAAATTGTACATACAAAGATCAATACTTGGAAGGAACTTGTCCCGTTAATGGATAGCACTCTGGGAATACATGTTCGTGACAAGCAAGAGAGACCAGTTACTGCAACTTCTTTACTGAATGATCTTGAATCCAAGGCCACAACTTTGAAGACAGAATTATCTGCTAAAAGAGACAAGTTGGAGAATCTCGATGTTAAATGGGATAACTTTAGAAAATTGCAACAAAAAATTACGGAAGAAATTGTCAACACTCAGACGAGCCTGCAAAACATCACATATACTGTTGATACTTGCGAAAAACTCACACCGGCAATCGAGAAGATAGATGATTTAATCGAGGATCATCAGAGACGAGAACCGGAAAAAGAAAGCCTTCATCGAGAAGGTGACAACTTGATGAAGGAGGATCAACGAGCGATAACTAACATTCAGGTAGTGGTTTCTTCAGTGGATGGAAACTGGGAAAAGGTCAATGAACTTCTGCGTGAGCAGAGAAGGAAATATACTGAAATGGATGTCGACTGGAAACAGTATCAGGAAGCCAAGGAGAAGTTGAACAAGTTTATCGACGAAGCGAAGAACCTTTGTCAGTCGGTCAAAGATGTGTCAACTGATATCACCCAGGCAAACGTTGCTCTGGAAAAACACAAGAGAGCTTCAGAGATTTTGAAGAAGGGTAAACAATTTCTGGACAAAATGGACAGTAAGGCGCAACAACTAGCGAAAGAGACATCGTTAATGCCGAACTTCAAGACAAGTCTAATCGAATCGGATTTATCCAATGTACGAAAAAAATATCACGAGATTAATGCTAAGGTGATCGATCGAACTCAAGCGTACGAAACACAGGTTATCATCTGGAAGCAGATCGAAGAAGCAAAATACGAACTTACGAAGTGGCTCAGCGACACGAATGAAGCGCTCACCATGGCTTGTGATCGTTTACTCGATGCTGAGAACGGACAAGCGTTATTGATTAAATATCGCGAGGAATTGCCAGTATATCAACAACTTCGTCAAGGTATCGCCACGAAAAGCGAACAACTCGTCAAATTGAACGACGACGCGAGTATACCAACTTTGAAATCCCTTAATGATTTATTGGACGATCAATTTAAGGTTGTTAAACAGGCCGCAAATAAGCTCGCATCGTTCACCTCAACTTTCAACGAAAAAGAAAAAGGTATCAGGCAGGAATTGAAGAAATGCAGTGATACGATATCAAAGATTCGCGAAGAGATAATCAAGTGCGATGATTTAACTGGCGAGAATACTAAGATTTTGCATAGAATCAATAAATGTCAAGAATTGAAGACCGAATTGGAGAAGTGCGATTATACACTTTCAGAACTTGACGAAAAATTAACAGATATGGTATCAGAATATCCAACTATATCGAAGTCCAGCTTACCAAAAGAACTGCAAGCGTTGCAACTCCGTAAAGACGGCGTAGCCAGTCATGCTGACAAAGTTAACGCAACGTTGGTAGCCTTCTTGACAAAACTCTATCACGAAAAGTTTGGCGCTCTGCAACGCTTAGTAGCAACTCACAAGGAAAAAGTAGCCTGGTGCGAACCCGAACAGAGCAGTGATCGTTACAATCTCGAGGTAAAGATGACCTCGTTGATCGATGTGGAAGACGGTATTGCTGATTGCGAGACTCGAAAAGCGGATACAGATAATTCATTGACACTTCTAAGCACTGTCGAGAGCAGTGAGACCATTTCTGCTCTTAGAGACGAACGCGACAAAGTTACTGCCGACTTGGAGTCCTTGAAAGTCAGTTACCGCAAAATCAAATCCGTGCTGCAAGAAAATATCGCTTTATGGCAACGATACGAATTTACATCAGAAAACGTAATTTCCTGGCTCAAAGAGAACGAGAATAAAATCAGAATGGAAGCCACGATGCTTTTAAATCCAAATGAGATTGACGCAAAGATTGCCGAAATAACACAACTTAAGGGAAAGATCGAGAATTATGAAAACGAAATGAAGGATCTGATCGCACTCGGAGAGGAGATAACTAAAGTTAGTCCAGAATCTCGCGTGGCTCAATACGTCGGACATTTGAATACACGTTATCATTCGGTGCTTAAATTTTTGGTTCAACATTTAGACAGACTCAGAGAACTCAAACAAATTAAAGGCCAATATGCTACTAATGTAAAGGAGCTGGAATCGTGGTTAGTAAACGCGGAGCAGAAATTGAAAACTTTTGACGAGATCAGCGGACCGAAACCAATGACCTTCTATCAATCTCGCTTGAAAGAATTAAAAGCGTTTGGGGAGGAACGTGAAACTGGACAAACAATTTTGAATCGAACAGCGGAAGCGGGTGAAACACTTTTCGCGAGAATAACACCAGATCACAGAGAACTCATCAGAGGTGAGCTAAGAAATTTGCGCAATCGCGTGGAAGCCTTGGCCGATCGTACAAACGTGATTTATAAGAAAATCGAGAGCGACATGATGCATCGATCTTCGTTTGAAGACAAGTATTCCCAAGTAAAGCAGTGGTTAGTTGAGGCACGGAAGAAATTAGGTGACAAGCAAGATCTGCTACCGTCGCTTCAAGAAAAGAAACTCGCCTTGCATTTGTATAAAGCTATTGCACAAGATGTAGGAGTTCATCGAAATATCCTGGAACAACTTCAGGACAGGCTCGGAGCGGCACCAGACGACGAGGCTAGCGAGATGCTCAATAGCGTGATTGAAGCGCATGAAAAGCTATCGGAAGACGTAGATGATAGAATCGGTATAATGGAAAAGTACGTTGCAAATCACGAGGCTTATCTTCAGACGTTCGAGAAAATGCGAGATTGGATTAACACGGTGATAAACGAAGCGGCGCCCATCAGTGAGGATCTCTCGATAGATCGAGATGCAGCGAAATCTAAGATTGCTTTGATCGAGAACGTGTTGCAACAAAAACCCGAGGGCGATAGGATTATAGACGATTGTAATCAGCAATTAAATATCATTTTGGAGCAAACTTCAATATCTGGTCACCCTACGTTATTGAGAGGTTTCGAACAGCAGAAAAAAGTTTGGGAGGATTTCCTCCAACGATGCGCCTCAAGCAGAGATAAATTAAATCATCTATTCAACCAATGGTCCGAATTTGAAAAAGTAGTCGAGGGTCTAGAATCTTGGCTCAAACAGATCGAAATGCAGGTGAAAGATCAAAGCTTGAAGAGTACTGAAGAAACTAAACGCGCGCACTTACAGAAATTGAAATCCCTCGAAGAGACTATCATAGCAAAGGGCACGGAGTTTAACGCGGCGGTTGAGAAAAGTCAAGGCGTAGAAGCGGAATCCGACTTGGTTACTAAAGTATCTCGTCAAGCTACTAGGTATCAAGCAATCAAGAATCAAGCAAAAGAAGTTGTAGCGAGATACGAGCAATATGTAAAGGAGCACAATCTGTTCAACGAAAAGTATAATCAATTCTTGAATTGGATTAATGAAGTTCAGGACGAGTTGAAGAAATATAGCGAGATTGTTGGCGATTTGGCGGTACTACAAAGCAGACAGAAGCATATCAGGGATCTCGGTGATGTTCGAACTCGCGAGAATGCTCGTTTCGAATCTGTCATCGATCTCGGTGAGAAACTTTACGTGCACACTTCACCGGATGGTAGAGAGATAATCAGACAACAATTGAGAAATCTACGCAGCATGTGGGACGGATTTTCCGAAGATTTACAAAGTTCGATGCAGAAGTTAGATCAATGTCTAATGCAGTTCGCCGAGTTTTCGTTGTCTCAAGAGCAATTAACGGCTTGGCTGCGAAACGTCGAACGCGCAATGCATCAGCACACAGAACTGAAATCATCGCTGGAAGAAAAGCGCGCACAATTACAAAATCACAAGATCATGCATCAGGAAATCATGTCACATCAGACGTTAGTCGAATCGGTTTGCGACAAAGCGCAACAATTGGTTGATCAGACGAAGGACACTTCTCTGAATGTCTATCTGCAATCTATCAAACAGCTCTTTCAGAATATCGTCGCCAAGTCTCGAGATTTGTTAGAGAATTTAGAGGATTGTTGCGAAAAGCATCATCGTTTCAATCTTCAATGTAAATGCTTCTCCGATTGGTTGAATGGAGAACGAGAGAAGCTGGCAGAATGCAATGATATAACGGGCGAACGATCTGAAATATCTCGCAGATTAACGAGCTTAACGTTATTAAAAGATGGCCAGGCACAGGGAGCAGAACATCTCAACAAGTTAAAAGAATTCAGTGAAGCTGTGGCTAATAGCACCGCGCCGAAAGGTCGAGAAGTTATCAACAAGGAAGTGATTACCTTGGAAAATAATCTGCGCCAATTCCTGAATGAAATTGGTAAACATATATTGCAAATTCTATTTTTTATGTGATTTTAAAATTATGTAAAAGAATCATCCTTGTATAAAGTTATTTAATTCATTAATTCCATTTATCGCAATCATTTTATTAGAAATTTTTTCTTTTTAGAATCCGTAGAGGAGCGACAGAAAGTAGCTTTAGAAAGATGGCAGAACTTTGAGGATCAACTGGAAGTTCACACAAAGTGGTTCCGTTCTATGGAGGCGGCATTCCGAGATCAACAGTTGCAGCCTACGTTAAAAGATAAAGAAGCACGACTTCGCGCGTTTAAAGAGAAACGCGAGACTATCGCGCGGCAAGAGCGGGAGATAGATGAATTTGTGGACAAATCACATAGTTTACTGCACGCGAGTGGTATTGAACGCATCAAGCCATTAATTTCCCAAGTCAGCAACAGGTACGTTGAATTATTTCCAACAAGAGAACTATCTTTATATTTACCATACCCTTGCATAAGTATGTAATAAAATCTTAATAGTTACATGGTAAATAAGAATTGGAAAAATTCAATCTCGCAAAATAAAGAAAAAATTAAAAAAAAAACTGAAATTTATTTTTTAAAAGCGCATGATTTTATTGTAGTGTCGTATGTGAACATTTAGACTAGTAAATAATTAATAATTTTTAAATAAAGATATAATGAAAGTAACAATACAATTAATTGAGTTCAATTTAAATGTTTAGATATCAGCTGTTGCACGTGCTCAGTAAGGAAATAATAAACCGTTGCCAAAGCATCGTAGATGATCATCGCGCTTATGAAGAAAAATTAAAGGCTATCGATGTTTGGCTTACGCCACTCGAAAAAAATTTAGCTATCTTGAAGGAAGATGAGATTGGTGGAGATCTCGAAGCGAGGAACTCGCGTTTACAAGTTTTGCTAGCCGAAAAAGAGCAAGCTGAACATCGTTTAACTAGCTTAACGTCTCTTGGTGAGAGGATTCTTCCAGACACTTCTGCTCAAGGGCGTGAAATAATTAGACATGAATTGCGAAACGCTCGCGAAAGATGGGATCGTTTGGCAGAAGGCATCACCGAGCAACAGAAAAAGCAAGACGCTCAATCTTTACAATGGTCTAGTTATCAAGAGACTCTGCAACAGATTCTAACTTGGTTAGACACGATGGAACGTGCAGTTAAACAAGATTCCTCGATGGTGTGGTCCTCCTTATCGGAAATAAGATCAAAACTACTCAAATTGAAGGTCCTTATATATCTTTTTAATATTATATTATTATCTGAGAAAATATAAAAAAAACAATATGGAAACCGTTAATCATATTATCTTGGAAATTTTATTTTAGACATTACATCAAGAGATCTTGGCTCATAAACGTCTGATCGAAGGCATTTCCGAAAAAGCCAACGCTTTGGTTCAAGTTACTCAAGTTCCATCGAACGTTCATGAAAAAGTCGTTTCAGTTTCAAAGAGATACGAAAAGTTAGTGGATACGTCTCAGAAAGGAATATCCAGCTTGGAAGCATTACTCGATATTTTCCAGCAGTTCCACGATCTTCAGAAAGCTTATCAAGATTATCAGAAACGTCAATGGGAACGTTTAGCAAATTACAGTGACTATACAGGAAACAAAACTGCTCTTCAAGCTAGATTAGCTAAAGTTATAGAGATACAGGACAGTCAAAGCGAAGGTGAAATAAAGCTGAATGTCCTTGAAGAACATGTGGTGCAGAGTGCGCATACTTTGCCACCTCGCTCACAAGAATCTATGGAAAGAGATTTAGCGAATCTTAGGTAAATATTTTAAAAAAGAAAATAATATAAAATTATTTTATCTATTAAAAAAAAAGAGTATTTAGAAATTAAACAATTTCATTGTCAACCACATAAATGCACGTTGGATGACGTGTTTCCAGATTCGAAAATAAGAAGTTCACTACAGCCGTAAACGACGTGGTACGTTGCATCGAAGAAAGAATACAACAATGGAGTGAATACGAAAATTCATTAGAACGTTTGCTTGCTTGGCTTACTGACGCCGAGACATCATTGAAGAACTATTGTCTAAAAAATACGCTTGAGGAAAAGCAGGAGCAACTTGAAAAATATCAAGTAAGTTCAAAATTATTACAATAAGTTGCATTATAGAAATGCGGTTTTCTTTTGGCTTCATACGTATATAAATTTCATAAATGTCCTATTTAACGAATATCGATTATTTAAAGACCGCTTTGTGTTTATCCCTTATCACAAATTTTCCCACATGAAATAGTAACATAATTTGAGGTGTGCACACTTAAAGTATTCAGTTTTAATTACGATTAGATGTATCTGTTTTCTTTACACGCACTGACATCTTTCACACACATGAATATAACACGAATATAAATTTTGTAATATTAACGTTGTTTTTCTTTCTCTATACGTCTCATACGATAGATCGTGCAAATACTTTTAAATCGACGAAAAAGAGAGGAGAAAGCCCCATCTACGCAAACTTTATCTCCAATCGTAGAGCATAATTATCTCTCATGCACAATGATTATATGTAATAAAATTTCTTAGGAACTACAGAAGGTTGCCGATTCGCGGAACACGGACGTGACAGAACTGGTTGCGCTTGGTGACCATCTTGAACAAGTAAGAGAATGATATACAAATTGCAAATATCATTTTGTAACAAGGAAAGATTGCAAGAGAGGCGGATGATTGCAACGGCTTTACGAGGAGTCTCTTCGACACAATTGCTCTTTTCTTATGTAATCTTTTAGCTTTTATAGCTTTTATAGCTTTTGTCAGGTGGGAGATATCAACGCTTCATCTTGTGATTTTATTAGCATTAAACGACATATCTGATTAGAGTAATACAAGATACGGCAATACGTATGCCATTTTATTAAATAAAATCAGTGTTTTCATCAATATTAAATCTGATTAAAAATATGAACAGCTAAATTATTTTCTCTCGCTATATAAATATTAATGTTGTTAAGCACTCATAATACTAAACAATTATTTATTTATGCATCGGCTAGATGAATTTTTGTTATATTTTTGGCGGCTATCTATTTATGTTCAGTAAATATTGCGCTTTCAGCTTCAAAATTTGCAGTACAATCTGTTTTGCTTCACGAATGGAGAGCTTCTTTGACGCTGAAATTTACAACGAGACGAACAAACGAGTCTGATATATCAGGATGGAATATTAAATTCTACTTTTTATACTTATTGTTAGTGCATAATTCTTCGCGTTTAACACTTAAGTAATAATAGTCTAACCACATTACTCAAACAGGCTTCTGCACGCAAGAAGAGAGAATTTTCTACTTTCTTATTTCGCATATGAATTATGCGGAACAGCTCTTTAACTAGAATCTCACTTAAAAACAGTTAAAATATAAATATGATTTTTTTTCAGTCACTGATTGTAAACCTCCGGCAAAATGAGGCTGAATTCGATAAAATGAGTGACGATTCGTCGGAGTTGATGCAGATCAGTGGCGAGACTCGATTTTCTGTTAGCGTTCAACAAGTCACGTCACGTTTCCAATCAATTCAGGCGACCGCCAAGGTAGTATAACTATATCTTCATACATATATCTTCAAAAGACAAATACTATCAAAACAGAAAAAATTATCAGTAGTTTTATTTATTTTTTGTATTGTATAAAAGAAAAGAATTTAATTATCATAGCGAAACCATTGCTTCAGCGTATTTAATGTGATAGACCAAAACTTTATTTCCATATATTATTATAAATTATTTTTAATTTAATAAAATTAAATAAAATTAGTATTTCCTAATTAATTTTTGGTTATTAAGATAATTGATACATCATAAAATATGTCATGTTAGCAAACATCTTCTTTTCTCACAATGAAAATCTTTATATAATTCTGTTTCAGGAATTGGTAAAAAAATGCGAACAAGCAGTAGTTGATCACGCTAGCTATTTAGATCGTTATAAACAATGTTCCGAATGGCTAGCGAACGCAAGAATGCGTTATCAGTTCTCCAAGGAAAACGTCAGTGGTGGAACTCGTCAGAAGCTGATCTCAAATGTGGAAACCTTAAAAGAACTTTTGGCTCGTCAGTCCTCGTCTACTCTCTTGATAAACAGCACAGTCGAGGCTGGCGAACGATTGTATCCTATGACCGGCACAGAGGGCCGAGAGATTATTCGTCAGCAATTACTGGATCTCCAGCAAGCCTTCGAAGAGCTTTTTGACGGCATCGCTTTGACCGAACGTGAGTTACAGGCAAAGATCTCGCGGTGGTCCGGTTTCGACGAATGCAGCGAGGCCTTCGAGAACTGGTTGAAAAATACAGAAGCTCAGTTGAAGCCAGAAATCGAACTAAAAACTACTCTGGATGAAAAACGTGCCCAATTGCAGATCTATCGCACCATCTTGCATGATACTCAAACGCATCAGCAAGATCTGCTGGATCTCCGAGATAAAGCAGATAATTTGCCCGATCGTACCGATAAGATCGATCAAACGCTGAATAATTTAACGAATAGATACAATGTATTATTAAAACGCGCGACGAAATTCGTAGAAAGGTATGAAGGCATAGTGAGCGATCATCAACAGTATAGCAAGGCCGTTTTAGATACGCATGAATGGCTGGATGCCACGCACAATGCCGTAAGTCTTTGGGGTGACGTAGAACTAGAGAGAGTATCCTTGCATACAAACTTGGATCGCCTAAAGAATTTATTGCACAGTCTACCGGAAGATAAATCGCGAGTGCAACAAATCAAGTCTCTGGGCGAAAAAGTAATACCGGGTACTCTGGAATCAGGACAGGTAAACATCCGGTCACAGATTGATTCTTCGCAACAAGAATGGGAAGGCTTGATCTCAGCGGTTAAGTCTACTATCGAGTCTTTGGAGAACAAGCTTCAACAATGGAGCGAATTCGAGATATCGAAAGAACGATGTTTAGCATGGATGAGGGATACTGATACAAAGTTACATGCCGTTGACCTCAAGTCCACTTTGGCAGAGAAAAAGACTCAGCTTGAAAAATTACGCACCCTTCAAGGTGAAGTTCGCGCTAAAGAACTAGAAATTGACGCCGTTGCTGAGCGAGCTCAGCAACTGCATAAGACTGTTACTTCTCGCACTTCTTACATATCGGATTTGAGCATCAAATATCAACAGATTTCTAGCAAAGTCAAAGAGCTCAATAATCGTTGGCATCAGTATGTTACCACACATCAAGATTTCGATAATCAATTGGCAGAATGCACCACATGGTTAGAAGACATAAAAAATAAGCTGGCGTACTGCTCTGACTTAAGCGCATCTTCGCAGAAAGATTTGGAGCAAAAAATGGACATTGTACAAGATTTATTATTATATAAAGAGGATGGTTTTGCAAAAGTTCAGGGTATTGTTGAACTAGCCCAGGCTGTTCTAGCAAATACAGCTCCGGCTGGCCATCAAACTATTAATGACGCTTTAGCGAAACTTCAGGAACAGTGGAGTGCCTTGGCATCAAAGATGCTAGAAACCAAGACAAACTTGGATGACTCAATAAACAAATGGGCCGGTTTATTGGAACAAATACAATCTATCAAGAAGACGGTGGAATACATGCAAACATCGATCGATGAGATTTCACAGTTTCAAACAACGATGTCGGAAAAAAGAAATCAACTGGAGCGAATCAAAGTGCTCGAGGAGAAGGTTCGTTGCGAGAATATCGAGGTTGATAGTCTCAAATGCAAAGTCGCTGAGATGATTGCGAGTGGTCAGCAAGGATTAGCTGCCTCGCAAGCTCAAGATATACTGAATAGGTTCGACGAACTTTTCGAGAAGATTAAATCTTTGTTGGCCGAACGAGAGGAACAGTATAAAGACCACCGTCTTTACAAAGAAGCTCACGATGATCTCATCGGTTGGCTTAGCCGGGCTCGCGAGAAAATACCATCTATGAAACAGAGATCACTTAGTGATAAGCTAGCGATCGAGAGTGCAGTGGTACCGCTCGAGAGTTTGTTGAATAAGAAAGCTCAAGGTGAATTGTTAGTGGAACATTTGCAGCATACTGGAAACGTTGTTTGCGCCAGTACTAGTCCCATCGGACAAGAAGTTATCAGAAACGAAATAAGAGCACTCACAGAAAGTTTCGAAGGATTGTTCAAAGGTAAGAATTATTCAAATACTTAATGTTTATTAATAAATCAATGTTGATAATTTCAAATGAAAAAAAAAATATTGAAATAATCGTGAGTAATCAATAATAATTTTTAACCTACAAAAAGAAATAATTGCAGTTTTAAATGTATTAATAAATAAATTCGTATATTCTATTGCAGAGATTCAACAACAGAAGAATCAATTGGAGGCTACTGTGAGTCAATGGCGCGATTATAAAGATGAATACGAGAGACTCAGCGACTGGTTGCAACAGTTTGACATTCTCATCAAAGCTCAAAAAAATGCTCTTTTGCCGAATCTGAAAGAAAAGGAGAAACAGGTGAAAGAAGTGAAGGAATTGCTCGATAACTTAATAAAGGGCCAAGAGCAGATTGATAAATTCAACAAAACGGCTGCCGGTCTACTTTCGTCTCACTTGGATACTTACGTCAACAATCAGCTGCGACATTTGAATTCACGTTACCAGGTGCAAGTGAATCTCGCAAAAGATGTATTAAACAAAGTTGAGACCAATCTAACTCAACATCGAGAATATGAGAGCAATCTTGAGAAAGCCCGTGACTGGATCGAGAATGCCAAGCAAATTATACGTCAAGGAACAGAAGCTGCCTCAAGTAGCAGTCGCGAAGAACTACAGAATAGACTTGATAAAATCCAGGAATTATTAAGAAAACGTGAGGAAGGTCAGAACCTGATACATCTTACTGTAAATTGCGGCGAGAAAGTCATGAGAAACACGCGATCGGATGGTCGTGAGGAGATCAACGCTCAGTTGAAAGAAATTCAAAACGATTGGGAGCGCCTGGTAAAAAAGATCTCAACCACAAAAGTACATCTCGAGACGAGTCTGTTGCAATGGGCGGATTACAGTTCGTCGTATTCGCAGTTGCAGCAGTGGATTAGCGATCGCGAGGCTAAGCTACAGCAGGTGTGCGAACAAAAAGTTTCCAAAGCTCGAAAAGGCTTAGTTGGATTGAGCTCTTTGGCAATTGGAGAAAGAAAGGCAAACTTACGACAAACTAACAGCATTGTACAGGATATCGTGGCGTTTGAACCAATGATTCAATCAGTCACTACAAAGGCCGAAGACTTACAACAAGCGACGCCGGCCACGGAGATCTCGATTAAATATGAGACTCTGAGCAAACAAGCTCAAGAATTATATGCAAAGCAAAAGGAGACTGTCGAACAGCATCAGGCCTTCATCGATAGTGGTAATGAATTTGTTCAATGGATACGAGCAGCCAAAGAGAGACTCGGTAAATGCTCGGAGCCTACGGGAGACAAGGAATCTTTGGCCAGCAAAATCACACAGCTTAAGGTTTTACAGAGTGAATTGTCTGAAGGTCAGAAGAAGCTGGAGAAAGCTTTGGAACAAGGCAACGCCGCCTGTCAGATCGCAGACGATGAAGACAAAGAAATAATCGAAGAAGAAGTGGCGCTATTACAAGAAGAATACGACAATTATGTGTAAGTAAAATAAATAAACATAATTTCTTAAATACAAAAAGATATAATGATATTAGATTTTATATTTTTGTATTTTTATAATATTTATATATTATATATAATATTGTATTTTATATATGTATTATAAAACAAACACACTTTTTATATTCATATTTATAACAGAGACTCGCTAAATAACACAAAGAGTTTGCTCGAAGTCGGCATAGTGAAGTGGACTGAATACGAGGATCAATTTTCCGAAGCTACAGAATGGCTTACGCAAACCGAACAATTAGTTCAAACGTTTAATAAATTGCAAGATAGTCTGGAAGAGAAGAAAAACGTTCTTGAACAATTCCAGATTCATTTGCAAACATTGTTTGATTGGCAAAAGGAGCTAGACCGTTTGAACATGAAAGCTCAGATGTTGCTGGAAACATGTGCCGACACGAGAATTTCTAATGCAATAACGCAACTCACTACCAAATACAATGCACTGCTATCTCTGGCTAAAGAAATAATGCGACGATTAGAATTACATTATCAGGTAATTATTATTTATTACCTAATTGTTTTACATAAATATTTATTAATAAAAAATTTTTCAATTTTAATTGTATACTTTCTCATTATACAAATATGACGTTGCTTATAATAATATATTCATCACTTTTTCTAAAAAAAAAAAAAATGTTAATTAGGAACATCAACAACACAATACTTTATACCAAGAGTGTCAAGATTGGATCGAGCGCACACGAGACAAGTTGAGCGAGTGTAAAGATATTCCCAGTACATTAATCGAAGTTAACAATAAGTTACACACGTGTAAAGCTATTCGACAGACGTTGGAGCAAGGTCAGAACAAATTACGTTACGCTCTGGAATTGAAAGAAAAAGTTATTATGAACACGGAACAAAACGGTGCAGCAAAGATTCAAGAAGACACCGAAAACTTAAAAAGCGAATTTGATAAGCTATTAGTCGACGTCGAAGATGTGAGACAAAGACTGTCAGCAAGAGCAAGTATGTTGGAGGAGCTCAACAAAATTCACCGACTTATTTCGGATTGGTTGGAGGAAGTTGAAGGCAAGATCCAACCAGGAGACGTATGCAGAAACGATCTCAGTGAGAAACGCGCTCTGTTAGAAAAATATAAGATCTTGCAAAAAGATATTTATGGTCATGGCGAAACGGTGGATCGCTTGAAGACTCGTCTTACTGAAAATCCCAGCATATCGAAAAATCCGTACGAACTGACAATCAATAAATATGACAGTTCGAAGAAATTAATTTCTGAAAAAATTCATGTAAGTAGAATTTTTTTTTAATTGCAAACAGAGAGAGAAAGAGAGAGAGAGAGAGGAATGTAACATAATAATATTGTAATATTGTTACTTTGATTATTTTAGAATTTGGAAGACCAAGTCAAAGATCACGAAAAATTCCAACAAGCTCTGAACGAGGCAGGTGACTGTGTGCGTCATACAAAAGTCGAACTTCAACAATATAGTGATACTCATGGCGAAAAGGAACGAATTATCGAACGAGAGAATAAAGTCAATCAAATCATCTCGTCCTTGCCAAAAGGCGACACGTTGATCTCGAAAGTGATCGAGCTGAGTGACGTTGTGATATCTAAGACGGGACCCGAAGGCCAAGATTCCATTAAGCAAGACATGAAACAAATACAGGCCGATTGGAAATCCTTGCAAGCACAATGCCACGATTCGCAACGAACTCTTGCCAACTGCATCTCAAGCTGGTCCCAGTTCACGAATACGTTAGATGGCATGAAGCGATGGATAGACCACTTCCAAAAGAAGATTGCAGACGAACAGACTAAAGATAACAAAACTCCAGAGGATTTAGAACGTTGTAAATATTTGGTGGAAGAGGCAATTAAACAAAAACCAGTTCTGGAAGACTTGAATGACAAATGTGAAGCTTTATTGGAGATTAGCGCTTGCAGCTGGGCGCGAGATAAGACGGTACAATTGCAGTCAGCGTACACATCGTTATTGACCGACGCGCAAGGACTCGTCTCCAAAGTCGAGAAGAATCTCGCCGATCATACCGAATTCTTAAAAGCCAAAAAGGAAATGGAGGATTGGTTACGCACTGCTCAAGGCTCGGTAGAAGATTGTATCGGTGTGGGAGATACGGCTTGGGCAAAGGATAAATTAGAAACCTTGAGGGTGAGTTTTATTGAAAAAAATACAGAAAATTTTTTGCAAGAAATGTTCGATGAAATATATTACTAGATTATTTTACTAATCATATTAATAAAAAAATATATCATACACAAAAATATAAATTCGTACGTCTTATTTTTTTTCTAAAATAGATATATACTTTTTAAAATTTATACATTAACAAAAATATTAGAATAATCTAATAAATATTTGACAGATTTATTAATTAAATATACAGGGTGTCCGGAAATTAGCGCATCAGAATATCATAGCAAGATAGAGCGGACTAAACTGACAAGGAAAGGGACGCAACTGTCCCCCTCCGATCTTAATGACCTTTTAATGTTTTTTCCAGACAAAAATAATTTAAATATAATTAAATTTATCTAACGATAAAATTATTTTAATTCAGCTGGTGGCGACACGCGTGACGGAAGGTCAACATCTACTATCGACATTACAGAATGCTTTTGCAAAAGCAATTAACATGGCTCTTCCTGAACAACAAGATCAGTTACGATCGGATATGGCCAATCTACGTTCGAATTGGGAACAATTAAGCATAGACCTCAATACGGTTCAAGCTAAAGTAAAGTCGGTTTTGAGTCGCTGGGAGGATCACGCGGAAGCGCATAATAAATTTGCAAAATGGTTAGAAGAGAACGAAGGAGTCGTTAAAGGGTCTCCGGATACAAAGGGCGAGTTTGGTGAGATGAAAACAATGCTCGAGCGATACAAACACATTCAAGAGGAAATTCACGATAGAAAATCCGACTTAGATCATCTTATGACGGAAGCAACGGAACTGTCAGCGTGGGCGAAAAATAACACGACGCTAAACGAAACGAAACATTTATTAGACCGATGGAAGGCGCTAGCCGAACTTGTCGGCGAGAAGAAAAAGTTTATGGAAAATGAGATGCAAGAGTACAATGCGTATCATGCTGCTTTACAAGAAACAGAAAAATGGCTATTGCAAATTTCTTTCCAACTAATGGCACACAATTCTCTCTATATTACCAACAAAGAACAAACGATCGAACAAATCAAACAGCATGAAGCATTGTTAGCTGAAATTCAGAAATATCAAGAAATATTAGACGAACTAAAATTAAAGGGTCACGGTCAAATAGATAGATATGTCGGTGCGAATCCTACTATTAGATCAACTATAGAGACGCAATTGCAAAATGTTCAAGATAGTTACAATTCGTTGTTGAACACCGCCCTGCAAATCAAGAATAGATTGACGGAGTCTTTGACTAAGTTTCAGGAATACGAGAATACTCTGGAGAGTATCATGAAGAATCTAGATATGTACGAGACGGAAATGACTCAAGGATTGGAGGTTCCATTGAATAACTTAACTTCCGCTGAGCAGAGCCTCGAGAGTGCTCGAACTCTACACAACAAGCTGCAAGCCGAAAAAGCTCGATTGGCATTAGCGGTGGAAGCTTGCGAAGCTGCGGCGGCATGCGTCTCTAGACCCGGAAGTCCACTTGATGCTCCACCTATTCAAGTCCCCGCGAGAGAAGTCGAAGTCAGAACAAGACTAGATGATCTCATTGACCAGGTATGTACTTATTAATCAATTAGATAAAATTAATAATTGTAGTAATTAATAAACTGTAAATTAATTAACATTGTAAAATGTAATGTAGAAATACAGAGAATGAAAAATATAAATGACCTGTTTAACACACATTGTCTAATTTGTTAATTCATACTAATTTTTCCATACATAAAAATTTTTTACTTCTATTAAATGTATACAATATAAATTGAAATTTCGAAATCGTATGTATATTTAATGTAATTAATTATATTATGTATCTTATTATATATATATAGATGCAAACGCATTTGGCAAATGTGATGAAAACGGTGGGTGAACTAGAGGAGCAATTGAGACAAAAGAATTCGCTTCGTGCTTGGATTAATCAGCAACGGGCCCTCTGCGCTGAATGGAAGTCACGACCAGCGAAACTGCGAGAGGAGGCTGCCCAGGCCGAGTTGCAGGCAATGAACGAATTGCTTACCAATGTAGGCGAACGTCGCACTCGCGCATTGATGGAATTGTCGATCCAAGAAGAGGATCATGATATTGAGGAAGGATTGAACAAACTGGAAACTGAGCTGACTGAAGCTATCGCTGGAAAACAAGCAGCTCAAGATCTCATCCAGAAATACAGATCACAAGTACAGGACATTCAAACATGGTTCGATAGCCTATCGAAGAAAGTCGACATGATTGAGAAGGGTAGTGGATTGACTATCGGTCAAAAAATTTCAAATCTCAAGGACATTACAACCGAATTTGAATCTCAGGGAACAGAGAAATTGGCAGAGATAAAGAAACTAGGTGACCAAGTGATGGACTCGGTCAGCAATCTAGATTCTCAACAAATAGAAGAGCAAATCAAGTCGATAGAGAGACGATACGCGGACATTGGTAAGAAGTTACAAAGAAAAGCACAGGTCTTAGAGATGACGGCACAAGGCATCGAAGCAACTAGGCGAGAAATCGAAGAGAATCGAGAGTGGATTAAGGAGAAAAAACAACAAGTAAAGATGCCTGAATTGTTTGGCTTCGAAAGCAAACAGGCAGAAGAAAGGCTTCTCACTCTCAAGGTACAATTCTTCATTTTTCTTAGTTTCTCCTTAAAAAATATCAATATATATTATTTTTAAATTATGATATTACGTTTTACAGGCTATGTTGAAAGAAGCAGATGGAAAGCAATTGATTATAGATACATTGGAAAAGCGAGTTGGAAATATGCAGAATGAACTGGAAACCAGCGAGCAGCAGCAATTAGAAGCTGACACGAGATCTTTGCGCGGCGAACAGGTTGAATTATGCGCCATTTTGAGGGAAGAAATATCCGTCGCAAGTGCGGCAGCTGATGCACGTCGCAAATTAGAGACTGATATTAAAAAAGCACGAAATTGGATAAAGTCCAAAGGCAACGATTTAAAGAAACTCAGCGGATATCTGCCTTTGAGAGCTTCGAAAGTTGAGCAAGATATTGCGCAACACAGCGGATTGGAAGCAGATATCGACTCCTTTAACGAAAGCCTTAAAGATATTCTTAAACAGGGGCACAGTTTGCTGAAAGATTGTAATGCAGACAGTCGTGCCAAACTCCAGGCCCTTCTGGACGATCTAAGTAAGGATTACGAGGAGTTGAAGAAGGAGGCGAAAGAAAAACAAGCTTCGTTAGCAGATCTTCTTCAGGGACGCAAGGCTTTTGAAAGTGAATTAGACAAGTGTCAACGATGGATTAAGGAAGCTGAAGTGGCTACCTCTTCCGAGTTGCGACCTTCCAGTCTTGACATTCTTCGTGAACAACTTGCTAAGGTATGTATATACCCTTTATAAACACAGAAAAAAATTTCACCAAGATTTTGATGCATCTTGTATATCTTTTGTGCATTAAGATATATTTTAAGAATACGAATATTTCTTCTTTTTTCAGTACGATCGATTGAAGAAAGAGGCGCAAGAATATGGTGATGACATAGAAAAAATAAATCAACAAGGAAAATCAATTTTACCGACTGTGAGTGACGCCGATAAGCAACAATTGAGCGAACAGTTGAAAAATATGAAAGAAGCACACGGACGAGTGGCCGGTGTGATAAATGAGAGAGCAATCGCACTCCAAAAGAGTATAGATGAAGCTGAAGAAGCAGCCGCGCGAGTGGCGGAGGCAATTCAATTCATGACAGACATTCAGAAAGAACTTCATGATCTGAATAAGCCGATCGGTGCTCGTGTGGAAGATGTGGAAGGAATGTTGGCCGCTTATGAAAGAATTTTGGACGATCTCAAAACAAATAAAGCTAAATTATCTGATCTTCAATCTGCTAATATAGGAGATCTACATGGCGTTCTAGCCCAACAAGATGATTTAATAAGAATTCTCGAAGCACAAATAGCGAAACTTCGTCAGTTGCTATTATTACGTCAACAATTTATCGCTTTGATCGCAGAGATTACTACTTTCATTGCCAAGTATACTGAAATTGTTCGGGATATTGAGAAATCTGGGCAAACAACGGAAGAGAAAATTAAAAGGTACTGTAATTGTGGCTATACATATAATATATTAAATAAACAATGTACCTTAAATTTTAAGTAGGAATTTGATTTTATTAATGATTTATTAATGATTAATTAATTTAATCATCAAAAATTCAACAGGTACGACGACGCTATATTAAAAATTCAGGAATGCGAAGCTACTCTCGCTAGTGCGACGGACAAAGGACAGCAAATAGCGGCGGAAGGTTCGGTTGTAGATAGGAATAATGTGACGGAACAACTGCAATCGTTGAAACAGCAATTACAAGCTCTCCGAAGGGCAGTAGAAACTCAAAGAGAGCAACACGAACTGGCGGCAGCTGAGCATAGAAGACTCGCTAGTGAATTGGCAGACATTCTTGACTGGCTTGAGAACAAAGAGAAGGAAGTTAAGTCTAGGCCACTGTTGGAAAGAGATCCGGCGAGCGTCGAGGCGGAATTAAAGAAACATCATGTCCTTTGCGCTGATGTAAACGAATATCTAGATAGAATCAGAAATCTAAAGGAATCACTGCGACATGAAGAAGGAATGCCTGGATCTTTAAAGGAGATGCTAAGCGAAGCAGTTTCCTTGTTGACATCTTTACCGCGAGAGATGGAAGAGCGTGGAAATTATTTCGAGAGTAATATGCAAATGAGATTGGATTACGCAGCTCTTACAGACAAGCTTCACAGCTGGGCTCGTGAAGCTGAGATTCGACTTGAGAGCAATAAAGAGGGACTCGATTTTGAAAACATTTTTAGCGATCTGGAAGAACACAAGGTGACACACTTTTTGTTATTGTTTTTCTAACTAGATTACTTGAATTAGTTAAATTAAGAAGTGAGAGATTAAATTTCGACTGTTTACAAAATTAATATTGTTGTGAATAAATAAGTTTCATTTAATTTCTGTTGTGTTTTTAGATATATTTCAGCTCCGAATCTTCGATACGCGAACTCGTGTCACAACAAATTCAACAGGTGGCAGATAAAATCTGGCCGTCTTTGGATAGTTATGAGCAGGAGGAACTAAGTGCTCAACAACAGCAGCATACTCAATTGTTAAAGAACACCCTCAATACGGCTAAATCGCAACGTTCACGGTTGGAACAGGGTGCAGAGATGTGGAGAGATTATACACAGAGTTTGGAACGTGTTCGCGCCGTTATCAGCAGAACTAGATTCACGGATGAACCGGTCACAACATTAGCTGGATTGCAATTCAATATTCAGAAAATCACGCATGCCCTGAATGACATCCAGGTGTGTTAAGAAGTACAGATATAAATAATTTTTTTTCTTCCTTTTGTGTGATTATAACTACGTATTCTTTATATTACACTAAAAAAGTTAAATAAAATCTCCAAATCATATTGAACTCATGTTTATGATATTTGCAATTAAACATTTTTTTATGTATAAAATAAAAAAATGTCTAAAAAATTATAATTAATTCTTCTTTTTACACTCGCATACATATATTTAAAAAAGAATTAAATTGCTTTATGTACGACATATATACTACGCTCGATACTAATTAGATACATTTTTAATGTCTTTTTTATTTCCGCAGAATCAACAATTCGAGTTGGATCTTTTAAATGAACGTGGACAAGAAGTCCTCCGACTCGCAGATATTAACAACAAAAAAGCGATAGAATCGCAGCTCTCTGAGATCAATTCGGAATGGCGGGAATTAGTTTCGGGACTCGAAGGACGTAGGGATGCACTCGAGGCATTATCGCGACATTGGGAAGACTTGGAAGCGCAATGGGCTCTCATCGAATCACGGTTGACCGCAACTGAGGAAAAAAATAAACTCGTCGATACAGTGGTGCGATCGAAACAACATTTACACGATACTGTTAAAGTATTAGAAGTAAGTAACAATTTTTCTAATATGGGTAAAATAATAATTTGTCTACTAAGAAAAAGTTAATCATAAACAATATAAATGTACAATTAGTTTGAGAATCAATAGCGGAATAATGTGTCTTATATGCTACGTATATATATTCCATGAATTTAAATAAATCACATAAAAATAGCTAAAAATATTGGAAGTGGGTTAAGCATGTTCTATAATTATTGATATAAGCATAGATAAAACTTCGTATAATAATAGAAAATATGTACGTCACGCGAAGTATACTTTTTGATCCTTTAAATGGCTATGTAATGTCGCATTTTATGTGGATACACATTCTTATCGATTTACCGTGCGCTAAGGGTACAGATATACTATTAGTTCTATCTTTCTCTTTTCCTGATGCACCCTCTTTATAAATGCCGAACGTGTCAGACTTGCACAGCCAGGCACCACAGGTGCTCGGCCCTCCAAAGCTAACTACTTTAGTCGCTCACGAATTATCAAGCCGTGATGAACGCTCGTGAAGGACGATCATATAAACGATATTTTTACTTTTATAAAAGATGTCTCGACATTTTCACAAATAGATATTTTAATTTAAAATTTAATATGTGCTAAAAAATTAAAGTAACATTAAAAACTTTTTGAAGATGGTGATCAAAGATAGTTAATGCGCTTCCTGATTTTGCTGTGGACAGGAACTCGTAACGGAAGCTGAAAAACTTAAACCTGAAACGGAAGAAGTGAAGAGCTTGGTAGGACCTGTACTCGCATATCTCGCAGCGTTTACGCAAGCACCGGCACGAAACCTTGAGGAACGTCTTGAGAAACTACAAAAATCCGTCGAATCGTGAGTCAAAGTACATTTTGCTTTTATATCTGCTCAAAATGTGGACCAGCACCGCCTCACGTGATTGCTAGCCAACTAAGTCAATTCAATATTATCTTATCGTTAGTTAACATAGGTAGTCAAGTGAAAAACATTTTTACAAATATAGATTAATAGTATAAAAATAATAGAATGTAACTTTAACAATTAATATTTGTTCCATGTACCTATTCTAGCAAAAATATAGCAAATGTTCGCATTTCACATTGCATTTCGGATTTATAAAATTTTACTTTTTCAAATTTTAATGTCACGGTTATATTGTAATTTCAGAAATAAAATATACATGCACTTTTACTATTATTTAATACGGAGAATAAAATTGACAATATTTGTAATCATAAAAATTTAATTTCTAATTCTTTCCAATTTCTTTTGATAAAAATTTAATTTCTAGTTTACAAAATTTTTCATATTATATTTGTCTTTTTATAATACCTTATAAGTTTTATAATAGCTTATTGATCTTTGGGCTGGCAATAAAAGGTGCTATTTAGGTCCTTCTAGCAGATTTGCATGTGCATGTATAAATGTGCATTTGAAGCTTCTGCTTATATGTTCCCTTTTCCTACGACATATACATTTTTTATTTCAGCAATTCTACGTTCCATCGTTATATTTGTAATGTAATCAGTATTTTTAGTATTTCTTTCAGGTGATCATATCATTTTAATTTTTTGCATTAGCATATTGGTATATTAATGAAAAATAATATAATTAATGCAAGGGATATCTGTTGTTTAATTTTGATATTTAGGGGAAGATTGTGAGAGGTTTTATGAGATCACGTTTTTTAATAAGTAGAAATACCGACGCGGTGCGATGTGCTGCAATTTTAATAAAGGTTTTTAAAACTGTTATCCTACCATGACGCATCCAAATCATTGCCAAAACACTGCGCTAGCAATTGACTTTTCGGTCACAAAGTCAGTAGTGAAACAGTTGGTCAATGAGCGAGGAAACTAAAATACTTGTAAAACGATAGTGCAATTATTTCAAAACGAAATATTATAACATATCACGAATCAACGACAAAGGTTATTTTAAGAAGACCGATAGTAAAACTGCGAAACAATGATAGTGACAAACAATTTTGTGAAAGTTATTAAGGTAAATTTAAATTTTCATATTTTTTATAATTATGTCTTTAAAAATTGAACTGTTATAGTAATGTCTTTCAAAATTGAGCTGTTAAATAGTAATAGTCAATCACGATAAAATTTTTCGACAAATTTCCGATCATTATTCGTCATGCTTGTATTTCAATTAATGATTACATAATGTTGCGTAAAAATTACAAATCAAGTACGTAATAATGGTTACGACGCAATGTGAGTGCTGACCAAATTCGACGTAATGCGACTAGCGCCACAAAACGGAGTATAAATAGTACATAAATATAAATAGCTTGCAGACATTCTCATATATTAGATATGCAATTATTTAACACATATCCCAGGTTTAATAGACCATTTTTCATTTATAATTCTTTGACTAATGTAGAATTAATTTTACTCTATCGAAAATATTAAGAAAAACCAAACAAAACATTTACGATCGCTTACACAACGATCCAATCTTAAAACATCTATGCAATTAACCTTCTTAATTAGACATTTACATCGCCTG